TGCTGGGGCAAGGATGGGCACTGAGCAGCACCGCTCTGCAAGGGAGAATGGCAGGGCTGTGGATGTTCCGGCAAGCTGCTGGGACCCGCAGTGCCAGCAGCAATGCAGGAGGCAGGTGGCGTGGGGCTGCCCTCCAGGTCACAGAGGGCTTGGGGCAAGCGGGAAGGGCTGCCATGATGGGTGCATTACAGCCTGCCCCTCTGCTCTGCAGCGCAGCCATGTGATGCCGGAGGAGCGCGGTGGCGATGATATGGAATGTGGGCAGCTGTCTTCAGACACGCTCCGACAGGTGACGGTCCAGCGCCACCCCTGCTACGGATTCGGCTTCGTGGCCGGCAGCGAGAGGCCAGTGGTGGTGCGCTCGGTGGCAGCAGGTAGGGTGTGCGGTGTGGTGGTCCCTGGACACGGCTGCAGGGTGCCAGGAAGCAAAGCAGCACCCTCCCCTGGTGGGACCCCTCCCTGGGCTCCTGTCCTCTCCTGTCCCCTCCAGTGGGCCTGCGGGATGCCCTCCACAGCTACATACATGGGCAAATGCTTTGGGGGCGCTTGGGACCCTTCTGCTTTCCTCCAACCCTACAGCCCCAGGATGCCTGGGCTGGCCCTGACCCTCTCTCCCGGCAGGTGGCCCCTCTGAGGATAAACTCCTGCCAGGAGACCAGATCTTGGCCATCAATGATGAGGACGTGAGTGAAGCCCCCAGAGAGAGATTCATCGAGCTCGTCAGGTAAGGACAACACTCGTCCCTCATTGCCTTTGGGGAGGGGGCTTGTGCTAGGCTGCTGTGCACCAACTGGAGCATTGGGGTGTCGATGCACACCCCCAGGCTCCACTGTCACCAGTGGTCACGGCTGGGGTGAGGAAGCCTCAGCCTGAGCAGGGGGAGTGCCTTGGAGCAAGTGCCATACTCATTCCTGGCTGACCTAGAGGTGGGCAGCACTGGGAGAGCACCCACAGCGCTATTACCAAGCATCCCAAGGAGCCCATGAAGGTCCCGACCACCATCGGGCTGGGGAGGGTGGGATGTGCTCTCTCAATAGCCAAATGCACATGTTGAGGTCCACCACCATGAGGTCCCGTCCACCTTCATTTCTCCTTTCTGTCACAGGAAGGCCAAGGACTTCATCATTCTCACAGTTCTGCACACCCACCAGGTGAGACCGACAGGGCCATGGACAGCCCCAGGGGAGCCAGGACAGGGGTTAAGAGCCCTTTGGGAGACTGAGGTAGGGTCCTTGGAGGCCCTGGGGGACCACTCAGGCAGCTCAACTGAGGTGTCGGACTGCTGTCCCGCCACCCCAAGCCTCTTCCAAGCCGTCAGGTCTGAGAGCTGCCGCAGCCCCGAAGGGTCCGTGTGGGCATGCGGCCATCTCCCTGTCCTCGTCACTACCTCCTTGCAGGAGGGAGGGAGGAAAAATATCTCCAAACCCATACAGTTTGCTGAGGGCATCAGGCGTGTCTGATGAAGTGACCTGTCATGCCAGAGGTGGCAGGGAGGGACATACCATTGCCGTTCCCAGCAGGCTTGTCCAGGGAGTCCCTGGGGAGATGGGAGTGCCAGGCTGCAGGCCCCGAGTAGTGCAGCTGGCGGTGGTGCTGGCACCGAGTGGTGATAGTGGACTGGGGCTTGGCGCCTGTGACGCTGGAGCAGATTGAACCATCATGCTGGTGGCAGTGCTGGCAGGGCATCATTTCTGCTTTGCTAAGCCCTTTGATGTCAGTGAAGGAGATAAGTGTGAGAGCTCCCCTGTGTTCCCCTCCTCTGCAGGAAGGAGATGCCACCACCCAGCGCTGCTCCATCAGGAGCAGGATGTGTGCCGGGCTCCAAAACTTTTTTTTCTCCTGGCACTGGATGACTGCCAGCCAGGTCAGGCTGCTCAGCTGACACCGGCGCCCTCAGACACACACAGCTCTGCGGCATGACCATGTCCGTGCCAGAGTGTATGCAGGCAGAGACTCCCTGGCACCTGGCACTGCCACCAGAACATCCCGCAGGGCTGCCTGGGGTCCTGCCATCTCCCATCTCCCAGCCACCCGGCTCCTCCCTGCTGCTGGAGACCCACATCCAAGGGGCTCATCTCTCCCGTCTGAACTTGTGCCAATGCCTCCAAAGCAAGCCCTGGCTCATGTCTGCTGGAGCTCAGCCTGCACAGGGGGTGCCGGGCACATGTGCCCACTAGGGGTGCAGCCTCCCCCATCACACTGAGGGTGCTGGTGTGACTTCAGGGGCTGCTACTGATTGTTCTGGCCCTGCCTGCAGCGCTGTATAAACACAGTGAAGGGGACTTGCTTTCCACCCCCCCATTTCATGGTTTGCTGCCCGCTCCCCATCATCGTGCTGGCTTCAGAGAGGCTTTCTCTGGGCCCCGTGTCGTCTGCCTTTCCCCACGCCATGGCTCCAAGGGCAGGCAGGTGATTTACCCGGTGCTCTCTTTCCAGTCTCCCAAATCTGCTTTCATCAGTGCAGCCAAGAAGGCGAAGCTAAGGTCCAACCCGGCAAAGGTCCGATTTTCAGAGCAGGTGACAGTCGGTGAGACAGACCCAGTAAGTCCTGCCCTGCCTTCCTTCATGATTCACCCCTTTGAGGCATCCCTGGGGCCATGGGGCACAAGATGGCTGGGGGCCGCAGGACTCCTCTCCCCTGATTTGGGCTCTGCGGGTGAGAGCAGCCCTCTGGCCCGGGGAGCCCTGCAGGGCAGATGCCCTTGGGCACACTCAAGGCATTGGGTTGGTGCTGGGGGGACGTGCCGTGGTCCTCCCCTGTTCCTCCGTCTGGATGGAGCCCCAGAAACTGTCTTTGGAAACCTGGTCCTACCTGAGTCCCTCTGGGCACGCAGGGATGACATCCAGGCAGTGCCAGCACCTGCCCTAAGGAAGGTCTGTGGCTTCCAACCCCGTGCCAAAGGCTTCACAGGACCACCCGTGCGTGGGGCAGGGTGACCAGGGCACTGCTGCGTGGCAATGGAAGCTGTTACGCTGCAGTAGCATTCCAGCCCAGTGCCATTATTTCTTAATTGCAGAAAGGTTTTATTAAGCAGCATACAAAAAAAAAAAAAAAAAACCAAAACCGAAAAAAACCCTGTAAAGCACTTCTAGCAAATTCTATTTTTAAGCGAATTGAATTAAGTAATTATCTGAACAAAACGCTTCTCGCTAAATAAAATCAGCCTTCACTCAATTTCCTGCACAGGGCATGTGCAAGGCTGAGGTGGGCTAGGCTTGGGTTACGGGTCAGGAAAGGGGGATCAGCTCTGAGCCACCCTGGCTATCGCCTCCCCTCTGGGACAACAGCTGGGGAGCAGGACAGGCTGCCAGGCATGGGCATGGGTTTGGGATGTGCTGGACGGAGTAGGATGCTCCGTTCCCGCTGCAGCTGCTGGGAGCTGGGGAGGTGAATCTGTCAGGCAGCTCTGAATTGCTCCAGCTCTGCACTTCTCGATGGCTCAGCAGAGACGCTGGATTTTCAAGAGAAATGTGCCTCTTAGCACATAAGCCCAGAGAAGCGGAGGATGCCATAACTGCTCCATCACTGACACTCGTTCTCTCTCCGCATTCTCCCTCCGTCTCTCCGTGCCCCCCATCCTCCTCGCCTCCCCCATTGCCGGCGCTGCGTGCCAGGACATGTTGAAGAAAGAAGCTCTCCTCCTCATTCCCAACGTGCTGAAGGTTTTCCTGGAGAACGGGCAGATCAAATCATTTACGTTCGATGGCCGAACCACCGTGAAGGTGGGCCCCTCCACTTCCCCCACAGCACCATGATGCTTCTCTCTTCCCACCTGCCCGATTCATTTTTCTTTGTCTCTTGCTTCCTTTCACAAACACTGCAGTGGCGCTTGGCTGGCTGTGAACTGCCACCACATGATAGATAGCCCCTCCGCCTCCCCGGGCAACATGCTTTGCAGCTGGCGGGGATGGGTTTTTGCTGTCCTTCTCCCAGTCCTAACTTTTCTCCTTGCTGTGAGCCTGTCCTCCAGCCAGGATGGATGCTCCTGTGAGTCCCCCTGCCAGGGGCCAGCTCCCTCCAGCCCCCTTCCAAAACACCACAGTGTTACCCGAGGTGCTAGGGGTCTGGCTTCTGGTCACCTCCTGCTGCCAGGTCACTTCACCCAGCAGTGGCTGGGTACCATCCCACAGCCCCTCTCAGCACTGCAGGGCCTCATCCTGCACTGGCGTGTTCGCAGGTGCCAGGGAGGAGGGTGCTCTCAGTGGGGTGCCAGCTCCCACCCTGGGAGGGAGCCAGTGCCTCGCACCCAAGGCTGTCCATGGCGTTTGCAGGATGTGATGGTGACGTTGCAGGACCGCCTGTCCCTGAGGCACATCGAGCACTTTGCCCTGGTCTTGGAGTATTCCAGCCCGGAGCAGAGCCACCGGTTCCTGCTGCTCCAGGACAAGCAGCCGCTGGCCCACGTAAGCCGCTGGGTGCAGGAGGGCATTGGGACGGCCATGGCCGGTGGCTGGGGCGTAGGGAGGCTCTTCTCCCACCAGCGTGGGGCTTGGCCGGGGTTGTGCCATGGGGTGCCGTAGCCTCTCCTTGCCTCTGGCATGGTCCTGCAGGCTCAGGGGTGCAAAGGGTGGCCAAAGAGGGAGATGATCAGTGTTTTACCCATCCCACCCTGACAGCACCACAGAGGTGCTCTGTGCTGCAGCGTGGGCAGCTGCAGACAGCATTCATGAACATTCTTGGCCTGCCTGGGAAAGCCAGGAAGCTGGCACTGCATGGGACCAGGGATAAAATGGTGATTGCAGAGGAAGCATTAGCCTTGGTGGCATAAACCCCTGCAGCACCAGGCAAAGCTGTCACACTAAGGAAGGCTGGGCTGTTCCCAGGATGAAAGGATCAGGTGGTGCATGGAGGAGAGAAATCAAGTTCCCTCCTCCCAGGGGAGAGGAGAGGGGGTCTCCTGCCCTGCACGCAAATATATGTGGCTCCTGGGCTCACTGCTCCCCTCTGCTCCTGCCACAGGTTGTGCAGAGGACACACTACCATGGCATGAGATGCCTCTTCCGTGTGAGTTTCTTCCCCAAGGACCCAGTGGAGCTGCTGCGCCGGGATCCTGCAGCGTTCGAGTACCTGTACATCCAGGTAGGGGACTTGCTCCTAGGAACTGGGAGCTGATGGTGCTCGTGCCCCACGATTCTGCCCAGGCTGGGCCCTGTGGAGGCAACCCTCAGGTGGCGGGTGCCCTGTCCCCGTGGCTGTCTGAGAATACCTCTCCTCCCTCCTGCAGAGCCGCAACGATGTGATCAGAGAGCGCTTCGGCACAGACCCCAAGCCAGAGATGCTACTGGGGCTGGCTGCCCTCCCCATCTACATCACTGTCTCAGCCACCCGCCCCAGCCAGAAGGTCTCCCTCAAGAACGTGGAGTGAGTCCTCCTCCCTCTCCCCAAGCTGCTGCACAGCCCTCCTCTGTGTCCCCTGCCTGTGCTCCTGCTCACAACCCCTGCTTAACTGGGGTGCTCCCAGCAACATTTCGGGGTGCTGAGCATGAGAAGCCCTCAGAGCCCCGCTGGAGCTGGCCGGTGGCTCACAGGCTTGGCAGCAGTAACACACAGCCCCCGGTCCCACCACGGGGCCATGTAAGACCCCCACATGCTGACATCCAGCCACGCACAGCAGCCTTGCCAGGGCTGGCAGGGACATTTGCTGTGAGCCCAGGATCATTTTCGTTGGAACCCGGGCTGATTTTCCGCCTGGCATCCAAGGCAAGGAGAAGGCTGTGGCTGTGTAATCTCAGCTCGTCACCAAGCCATGCAGCCCTGGCTCAGTTCTCCTGTGGCTCCTGGTAGTCTTAAACCCATACGGACTCCGTCTGTGAGGGCTGGCCTTGCCCAGTGTGCACAGGGAGGAAGGGGGGAGATGCACCCCGGGAGGCCCCAA